ATCATTCTCATTTCATTAATAAACTTTTACAAATCTACCTATTCTAATTAACAAATAGTTTTATATGCTACATGTCATCTTTTTTAGACATTATCAATGTCATCTTATTAGACATTCTCAATAAAAAATTATTGCCTAAACTCTTATATGGCCGTATGGTATGTCTCGATTCATTTGTAGAGTCCCTAATGATAAATCTCATAAAACTATATAAAAATTATGGGAATTATTTATGTGATCCCTTGATTGGCGGAATAATTTGAATGAACAATTAATAGTCTCCAAATTTGAAATCAATATATATATATATATATATATATATATATATATATATATATATCTTTAAATACTCTCTGGTATTGAATATTGATTATAAATTTTAGTTTTTGTGTTAATCTACTCTAATAAATGAAGATTCATTTTGTTACATATCAATCTCTCGTAAGTTTTGACACTTGTCATTTTGTGGTATTTTTGAAATAAATAATATCCACTTGTCAATTTCTAGGTTTTTTTTAATTTTAAAATTAAAAAGTCACATAATACATATAGCTATATAAGTAAAGTATTAAATATAATAAATATGATCTTAAATTGCAATAAATATGTTTTTTCCTTCCTTATTTTAAAATTTAATTTTAAAAAATACTTAATGTTTACATTTTGATATTTTATTTTTTTTAATTAACCCATGTAATACATGAGTTTCACACCTAGTGAATTATATATTTATTGGTTGAACAAATTTGACACGAAGAACCTTCCTATGCTTACTTGTCGCCACCTTCTTATTTTTCTTATGATTTGTATGGCTAAAGGTAATTTATTGAATTGCTTTTAGTATTATTTGCTTAAGTTTTACACTATATATGTATCGAGAGAAATTAAGATATATAACATGGTGATTAGTAAAAAAATTATGTAGTCGTTTATTGTCTTGGACAACTTACTTCATGTAAAGGATTAGATTTATAATGAAAATACATAACTATATGAGAAATTTTTTTAGTTCATACGAACTGCTGCGAGAATAAAACATTTTATACATTAAAAATCATAACTATAACAAAATAGAAGTTCATAGTATGGTTTTTATTATCTTACACAAGTTTAGAAAGTTAATGCTTAAGGTGTAGAAAAAATAAATTGAAATATGAAGTCATGTTACAATATATGAATATTAACCTCTTTTGTATACATGTAAATTCAAATATGAAGTCATGTTACCATAGGGGGCGTTGAGGGGGGGGCAAAGTGGGCAGCTGCACAGGGCCCGATTTTTTTTATTATATATTTTTATTTAAAAATAAAAAATTATAATAACGATAAGGGCCTTTTTTTTATTGTTCGTCCTGGGCCTTTGAGAAAATTTAACTTCTTAGAACCGGCCCTGCATGTTACAATATATGAATATTAACCTCTTTTGTATACATGTAGGAGATGGTGGATCAAAGAGAGAATACAAGAAGTGACTAATTGTTTGTCATGCCAAGGATGCACACCTTCATATTGTTGTGATAAAAATAACAATAATAAAGATCAATGTATTATGTGCTTTAAATCCATTTCAGAATGTAGAAAAGTGTGATGATTGCAAGATTTTAATTGATGAGATTTCAACAATAAATACAATAATATTAAAATAATTTGTTGCTTATCTATTGATGTTCAATTATCTTTACTACAAACTAAATTCTTGATCTCACACACCTTATGGACAACTCTAATCTTGGTACCCAAATATAAAATATAGATTGATGCTTTTTTAACACTTAAGATTTTATTTTCTACACCGACTACACAATAAAAAAGTCTAGCCATATAAATTTAATGTTTTAATAGTAAAATACTGATAATGTATCCCACCAGGAATACGTCAAACATAACGGAACCGTCAGTCTGATAGACGGTTTGGGCAAAGGACGGCATATGCCTAACGCCGCGTCCTCGCCCTCACCCTCGCGATCCCATATTTGTTCTTTGGCGCCCAAGCGCCAAGTTCAGCGTCAAGAAAAAATGGTACCAGTCGCCTCCCAGAGCGACATGTGTAGCGCTCAGGACGCCGTTCCTGGCAAACCTGCACCAATAGCAAACAACTACTCGCGGAGCACGATCTACCCATCGAAGGCCATTTATCCATGTCAAACCTGAAAAGATAGAAGGTACTGTCGGGGATTTGTCCCCCTGACCACACGTATAAAAAAGTCCCTTCTCCTCCAAGAGAAGGGATCGAAAAAACGCCACCATTTAACTCTTATTTAACACTTTTTCGCATTATCTCTAAGAGACCAACTGACTTGATGTCGGAGCTTCATTCCGGGACTGCCTCCCGGACGACGATTGATGATCATGTTTTCTTTGTTGTGATTCTCAGGCCCTTCATTTCTATCCCTCAAAGAGACGGAGTTAAGTCGGGGACATATCACAACAGTTTGCACCATCCAGACGTGCACCCAGTACGGCACAACCCACTTCACAACATCAGGCGCCGGAAATGACGGAAAAAGGACCGATACGGCAGGAAGGTGACGACACTAGCCCGGTTAGATCAATGCAGTCCCTCGACGGAAGCGGGTCGTCGACACTGGAAGGGCAGCCGCTCACACAGACACCGACGACGCCACCAGTCGTCCCTACGATGGAGCTCATCGCTAGTCTATGGCGACCGCCGCCCGTCGCAACAGAACATCCGACCACGACTACCACCACATCGCCTCAAAGAGCACCGACCACCCAATCACAACAAACAGCAAATCGACCACAGCCATCGACACGACAGGTGGGGACCAGCTCCTGGTCCCCTGACACCATTCTATCAGCCGCATCACCAATACTTGTAGGTCATCCGTCTTCCCCGATGACCCCCATGTCGCATATCCCGCTATTTGCACAGCTACCACCGTTCAACCCGTATACATACCACTACCAAGGCGTGTGCCCTCAAACGCATCCACAAACCCACAACATTCAAGGCACACCAACGCATGGGATGAAATCACACACTACAGGGCCAACGGAGTCAAGTTCGCAGTCGATGCACGCATACACCACATAGGCACCGTATATGCCTCAAGCGACCATGTACAACCACGGGTACCATTACGAGTATGGCCAATGGTACAACAACCCATACCACGTACAGCAGGTGATGGTCAGCGGAGCACCCCAACTACCCACACATGAATAACCCCGTAACAAGTATTAGCTTGACGTTCTGCCAAGAGCTATTACAGTATGAAATACCACATTCCGCCATGATCCCAAACATCCCAATGTATGACGACACGACATATCCTGACGAACACATAGACACTTACGAGTGGACAATGACATCCCTTCGGATGGACAAGAGATTTACCTGCACCTACTTCCCGGTCACGCTATCAGGAAATGCTAGCAAATGGTTCAAGGCACTACATCCGGGAAGTATCTCCAGCTTTGAACAATTTAGGTATTTTTTCCTCCACAACTTCATGTAGTTGAGGAAAGTCAAAGGAGATGCCAACTCTATCATGGCATGCAAGCAAAAAGAGGGAGAATCCATCCGAGCATACTATGACCGGTTTACCCTCACGACCCTGAGCGTCTTCGGTCACGAGGAATTTCTAGTCACGGGCGCCTTCGTCCAGGGGCTACTCTCAGGCCCCCTGTCAAGGAAACTTCAAGGAACAATGCCAAAATCCAGGGACGAGCTCAAATATAGGGTCGAAAAATACCTCGGGCAGATCGAGGGAGAAGAACGCAAAGAATCCAATCTAAAATTTGTAGCGAACGCCTACCTCAAACAAGAATCAGCCGACTCCCACTACCGTCATAGCCACAAGGAGCGCAACGATGGAAGCCATGATAAACATAACAGACATTCGAGACACTCATCTCATAGATTCCACCCATTCATCAAACACGAGCCCAGGAGCCATAAGTTGGAAGTACACGTGGTAGAAAAAACCCCTCAGCGGACGGAAAAAGAGAAAAGCAAATATTACGAATACCACAAGAGCAAAACCCACGACACTGGAGAGTGCGCGATCCTCAAAAGAGAAATAGAAGACAAGCAATTAAGCGGAGACTTAACGGAAATCGCAAAGACTCTACGATCAAAGTTCGAAGCCGAGCGGAAAGACGGGAGAACCCGGAAGGAGGCGAATAAACAACCAATCAAAAAGGAGGAAATCTTTGCAATTGTAAGGCCCGAGAACAGAGCCAGGCGTCGGTTTCCAGCCAGTGGCATCGACGGCTCACCCAGCGATACTCTCAACATAAGTTTCTTACCGGAAGACCCGCGAGCGCCCGACTGGGACCCCACATACCCAATCATAATCCTCGCCCTCGTCCAACAACATCATATCTGGAGAGCCCTAGTCGACGGAGGTAGCAGCACTGACGTCATCTACGAGCACTATTTCGAACGACTCCCGCCATCCTAGAAGAGGAACCTAAAACCCCCAACCCGAGCCCCGCTCGTTGGCTTCACAGGACACAAGCTATGGCCGCTCGGGACCATAAACCTCCCGTTGACACTACTCAGCCACGATGGAAAGGAAAGGGTAACAAGGATAATCGAGTTCTCGGTAGTTAAACACAAGTCAGAAGACAATATGATCCTAGGGTGACCTGCCCTCTTCCGGCTACAGGCCATCCCATCAACAATACATGGTACATTAAAGTTTAGAACAACCAGTAGCTCAACAACAGTAACAGCCCTAAACACACGGGCAAAACCACTTCGGGCGATCACCGCTTGGGATACCACGCACATCCCAAGAAAGCGACGCACAAAAATAATTACCACCCATACGGTCAAGCGCAAAAAAACAAATACCCATACCCAAGACAGGAGGAAAGGACACCAACCCCAAACGAACAGCCCGGGGGGAGAAGCGCGCGATAGCAACAACATTACCACTTCGAAAACATCGAGGATTTTCAGCACGAACACCAAGCGGGGTTGGATATTACTGAGCATACCCACACGTCTTCGTGCAACAATGGCATAGAGCATGGAAAAGGAGGAAACGAGGGAACACATGCGCGAAGTCATAGAGCTCGACCGGAAACAGAACCAAGGAACCGCCAGTGCCAGAGCAACGAGGGTAGGCAACTGCCCCAAAAAAGAAGACGTGGACATGAGACTCATTACAACCGTAAGAGTCCACAACTGGCAGAGGCTTCCACCAGGACGACATCTAGTCAATAATCTCGCAAAAAACAGAGCCAACAACGAAAAAGTCACGCAGAAAGAGGTAAAATCGCCCAAAGGTGATAACCAGGCAACCAAAGCTGGAGAATGGAGGAAATTGAAAATCGTCTTCCGAAAGACGACCATCCCAGAAACAACCAATCACGGCTCGCACACGAACACGAACGCTGGAGAGCTCATAGGCACGAGCCGTCAAATGACACAAACCAAGAAAGACCAAGAAGAAGAATTCGTCCCAATGACCTGGGAGCCCCAGAGCCCACGACATTAGTCTTAGCTTGGGGGAATCAAGGGAAGGGGCCAAGTGATCAAACTCCAAACGGATAATCACGCCCCAACTAGTCAGTCCAAGATCTAGACCTAGAATAGAAAAAACTATCGGACTCCCGATACTTATCTAACGATGTAGATATCTCCAAGACACCAAAAAATATGCAATGAAAACACAATTTGTAACGAACAAGTATCGACATACTTTCGTACAAATGGTAAATAAAGACGGACTAATCATTCGTGCCACCCAACACAAAACCATTGAGAAAAACACAATCATAGGCCTCAAGGGCTCATCACTTCTCCCTAATAAACATGTCGACAAGGTCAGAAGAGCCGCAACTCCTAATCACGACAAGTAAGAGGCCTTAAAGGATCATTAGCTTTCCCTCGAAATGCATAATACCTGAGCTCTTAGACCCCGAGGTGACGATCTTGGTCTTGCTTATATGACTAGAGTAGGAGTACAACTCCCCTTGACCCATAGCTTAGAGCAAAGCCCCAAAGTGAAGGCTTTTAGCTAGGAAGGACACCTTAACCAAAAGAACCAACTAGAGTTCGTACCTAAATACTAGTTAAAGCCTCGACTCACAATGACTGGCCCGAGGGCAAGCGCCGAGTTCGTCAAAACAGACGCTCTGGGGCCCCAAAACTTGTCAAGCAAACGATAACCATGACCGAGACCCCCAAAGGCCAACACTAAACTCTGGGGTGAATCCAAACTAAGGATGGCCAACACAAACCATCCAAGACAAAAAAAAAAGAAACGCGATAAACTGAAAAAGTAAACTTAGCACACAAAAAACAAAGAGAACAAATTGTCTAAACCGGACAACCCCCGGGATTTGGAAAAGACCACACAAGGCCAAAGAAGAAAATCATACATTGTTTCAAACATTGTTCAACAGACACCATGCACATACAAATACTGTCTTAAACATCAAATAACAAAAAAGGGAAAAAACCATCACTACTGAGGGGTGGAGGAAGTTCCAACGTGAGAAGAGCCTGTTGGGTTATTAGCAAAACAACATTCCTATCGTGTTCATGCAAGCCCTAATGCTTGGATCTAGTTTTTTATTTGTACATGCAACAATTATCCAAGACTTGCAAACCCTAATCTAGCATACAACAAAACAAAATTAACATCTAATAAACAAGTTAGAAAGTTACCTTTGAATGTTGCTTGAAGATCTTGAGCTTTTGAGAAACCTAACACCTCAAATGTGATGCCTCTAATGAATCACAAACACCAAAAGCAATTGGATGATCTTGGAGAGAGAGAGAGGGGAAGGCTAAAATCGGCTCTATGATCTCTAGGGTTCAAGTGGTAGCCGAATTGGGGAGCCAGGGGGTTCCTTATATAGTTGAGGAATTAAGGTTTCAGTCAAAGACCTCATCCGGTTGCTTAGGCTCTAAGCAGCCCACAAGAATCTTCCAGAATCAAGCCCCTTGGATGAAATCCTTATGGGCTCCCATAATATTTCGTCCAACCCCTTTCCAAGGGTTCCTCAGCCCAAAATGCAAATATCTTATAATTACAAGATCAGTCCCCTAAGTTTAATTAATATCTTTTGACCACAAAATTAATTCTAAATTAATTCTTGACCAATATTAATTAAACAAATATGATTTCTCTTTTAATATATTATTCATATAATATATTAATAAACCAAAATAACCTCTTTCTCCATTATTCATCCAGTCAAGTTGCTCTGGTGAAGAAAACCCAAAAAGGCCATGCTACAACTAGGTCAAGTACATACCAAATATGGTTATGGCTTAGACACCTAATCCAACAGTCTCCCACTTGGATAAGTCTAATAACTATAAATGTAATTACGACTTCAAAATCCGATTAGCAATCGTAGCTCTCAAAAGCCGTTGTCGAACTCTGACACGTCCTTTAGATAAGGTATCGTATAGTCCTCCGTTCTCAAGATATCGTGTGGAAAATCACATGGAACATAGTCATACTTATTGTCCAGCAGTTTGTTTCTCGATCTCTGATTTATCTGACATAGAACTTAATTGAACACATCAACTCAGTCCTGACCGGGCCCGACACATAAGTCAAAACAAAATCATCGAGGGGCCCAAGATATCGCTTTTATCCTCGCAGGATAAAAGGAACAGATAAAATTCGACTTATATGCTTGTACTATTTACTCATCAAATCGTTCACAACAATGTGTTTTATAACATCAAGTTACTGATGCGTTTACACATTATCAATGCACAACCATCTCGTAAACAACAACTCATATATCTAGGTTTAAAGACTATCTGATATTATCGTCTCACAATTACTCGTGATTAAATTCCATGAAGTGATTCATGTGAGTGCGGGATTAATCCAATACTCAAATCATATTTCATAAGCACTCATGAACGTTGCAGCAAACTTTTGCTATGTCTAAACGCTTAGACAATCTACAAGCTAATTCATGACAGTCTTTTTTCATACTTACTTCCAACGTATGATCGACTGTGGATATTTTAAATAATCTTATTATTCAGGAAGTCAAAACATGTGAAGTAAAACAATAGTAAATAATTAACACAAAACAGTAACTTTACTTATAAATAATACCCTTTTATTTAATCATCAAATGTTAATTACAATTTATCTATTACAAGTTTCTAAAATCTATCTAATCACTAAAACTAATATCGTCCTTCAACCCAATGCTCCTAGCGTGCTGCAAGTGCTTAACCCTACTCAGTCCCTTCATAAGGGGATCTGCTGGGTTATCCTCTGACGATACCCTCTTTACTACGAGGAGTCCCTCTTCTACCCGATGTCTAATGAAATGATATTTCCTGTCGATATGCCTGGATCTGCCATGATCCCTCGGTTCCTTGGTTAAGGCAACCGCACCTTCGTTATCGCAGAAAATATCCATACGCTTTTTTATGGCAGGTAAACCCCCAAGGTCTTCGATAAAGTTCTTTATCCATATTGCCTCCTTCGACGCTTCGCTCGCTGCCATGTACTCTGATTCACACGTTGAATCAGCTACGGTCTCCTGCTTGGAACTTTTCCATGTCACTGCTCCTCCATTTAAGGTAAAGACCCAGCCCGACTACGAGCGGAAATTATCCCAGTCAGTCTGAAAACTGGCGTCACTATACCCTCGCACTCTCAAGTCATCGCTCCCACCAAGGACAAGAGCCTAATCTTTGGTACTCCGCAGGTACTTAAGAATGTTCTTTACTGTGGTCCAATGTGCTCTACTAGGGTTCCCTTGATATCTACTGACCATGCTCAAATCGAACGCCACATCAGGGCGAGTACATGTCATAGCATACATGATTGAGCCAACTACGGAAGCATAAGGTACTCTGCTCATCTCTGCTATCTCGTCATCGGTACTCGGGCTTTGAGTCTTACTCAACTTGGTATTGCTTTGGATTGGTAACTCCCGTTTCTTGGAATTTTCCATGCTAAAACGTTTCAACACTTTATCAAAGTAAGTACTTTGACTAAGTCCTATTAGTCTCTTACTCTTGTTTCTCAATATCCTTATCCCTAGAATATAAGCAGCTTCTCTGAGGTCCTTCATAGCGAAGCACTTCCCAAGCCAGGACTTAACCTCCTGCAAGGTTCGGACGTCGTTTCCTATGAGTGGTATGTCGTCCACATACAAAACGAGAAAGCTAACTATACTCCCACTGGCCTTGACATATACACAAGACTCATCCTCGCTTCTTGAGAAACCAAACTCTTTGACTTTCTCATCAAAACAAAGATTCCACCTGCGAGATGCTTGTTTTAATCCATAGATGGATTTATCAAGCTTACACACTCTAATAGGGTGCTTCGCATCGATAAAACCCTCTGGCTGACTCATGTAAACATCTTCAGCCAACTTCCCATTAAGGAAAGCGGTTTTGACATCCATTTTCCATATTTCATAATCATGAAACGCAACTATGGCTAGCATGAACCTTATAGACTTAATCTTCGCTACTGGTGAGAAGGTCTCATCATAGTCAACTCCGGGAGTTTGAGTAAAGCCCTTCGCAACCAATAGCGCCTTAAAAGTGTGTACTTTCCCATCCATGTCGGTCTTATTCTTGAAAATCCATTTGCACCTGACGGTCTTACGACCTGGCACATTGTCAACCAAGTTCAAAACTTGATTGTCATACATGGACTGAATCTCGCTGTCCATAGCCTCTTTCCATTTCGCAGACTCCGGGCCTGCCATGGCTTCCTTGTAGTTGTTAGGTTCATCCAAATTTATTAGTGTGTTATCACTAATAAACGTATCACCCTCAACAGTTATATGGAAACCATATAATACGGGTGGAACACTAACTCTACTTGAACGTCTAAGAGGTAGGGACTCGTCAATCGGTTTAACAGGAGTTTCCTCCTCGGGTTGAGCGCCAGTGTTAGAGGTTCCTTCATCGCTTGATTCTTGAAGCTCTTCAAGATCAATTTTCCTCCCACTGTCCTCTTGGCATATGAGTCCTCTTTCTCGGAAAACCCTTCTCCTCGCAACGAAGACAACAATGTCACTCAGTCTATAGAAGAGATATCCAAAAGACTTCTTTGGATAGCCGATGAAAATACACCGCTCACTACGAGGTTCAAGCTTGTCGTGAGTCTCTCGTCTTACGAAAGCCTCGCAAACCCAAACCTTGATATATGCCAACTAAGGAACCTTCCCTGTCCATATCTCGTGAGGTGTTTTGGCAACCTTCTTAGTCGGGACTAGATTAAGGATATGGGCGGCAATCTCTAAGGCATACCCCCAGAATGAGATAGGTAACGAAGCTCGACTCATCATGGAACGAACTATGTCCAAAAAGGTTCGATTGCGCCTCTCAGCCACACCATTCAACTGTGGTGTCCTAGGTGGCATGAATTGCGAAACGATTCCGCATTCCGTGAGGTAGCCGTGGAATTCAATACTAAGGTACTCACCCCCTCGATCGGATCGGAGCATCTTAATTTTCCTTCACAGCTGATTCTCTACTTCTTGCTTA